TTATGTGATAATGATATGCTAAGGCTGCTCAACTGCTTGCTATAATGTGCACCGACCACCAGGGGGAAGATGCTCCAACTAGTAGGTGAGCTTGCTGCTGGGGTATGGCCAAACGGGACTGAGCGAGATGGGCCAGACAAGCCCTCCCATGGTCCCTCCCCAGCTGGCAACCTCCTGTGTCCCTCCCCAGCCCTGATCGTGCACCGGTGGGGTCCCTTAGCCTGGCCTGCGCCCTCTCGCAATCCAGGTCCCCTCAGGGGATGTCAGAGAGCCTGTTTCGGTGGGAGAGCCGTTTTTGGCCTGATCCCGCAGGCCAGGCCGAGGGGCCCCACTGGTGCACAGATTTGTGCACTGGGCCTCTAGTAGCATATACAGCCTTTCATTGTTTCTCCTGCACATCTCTGCGACTCCACACCAGTCACTCAGTGCAGAGGCCAGATTGTGAAATGTGTTCTGCATGGAGGACTTCCATGCCTGGGGCTAAATCAAGGAGCCAGGAGAAGCCACTGTCCAGAACATAGGGAAACAGAGCTGTACAGAGAAGATGGGACAGGCCCTCTTAGTCGGAAGGGACTGTCCTCATCAGTCACCAGTCTTAGGCGTAGTAGATGCGCACTGAAATTTTCCTCGGGAAGTAATTGCTGTGGGTCACATGGGCTTTTGGTCTGAGCAGTACTTACTGTTATAGCAGAAAGCCATTCGTGTTTTTTGTTTGTTTTGGTGGCTTTTTTTTTTAAGCTAAGTGATTACAGGAGTGCTTTTGGATAGGAGGGGATGGTTTAGAGGGAATATGATGGTGGACAGACCTAGACATGAAGAGAAATCATGAAGCTGCTGGTTGCCTTCTGATCTGACGGTGGAAGGGAATGGGGAGGTAGACATAGTTCAGGGGAGCCGGGATGTACAGAAGGGAAGACTGGAAGTCGTTCCGTCAGTAAACTTCTATTGACACCTCGCTTTGTGCCCTGGGAGCACCGCCGGTGGCTGTGATGAAAGACTGCTGAGTGTAACACTGTGATTTGGGCTAGAATGCTCGGAGTTCATTTCCTTAAAGAACCATTTCTGTGTGGCTACACGTCTCACAGACACCGTATCCCAGTTGAATTCATGGCTCTTTGTTCTGCCTTGGGTGGCAGGGGTGGGAAGAGGGGACCTTCTCTTTCATTAACCTCAAGTTAATGAGTGGCACTAGGAGCCCAGTTTTGCTAGCTACAAACATAGGAGTCATTTGGAACTGCTCTGTCTCCCTTCCCATCTCGACCTTCACCCTCCGAATTCTGCTTCCTCCCTCCTGATGCTGCCCTAGACCAGCCACCTGTGTCTGTGGGTGGCGTGGGACAGTGCACATGTGTAGAGAATGATAGGTGAGCTAGAAACACAGTGAAATGGAGTCGAGGCCATCTGAGGGCTTTGCAGGGGAGCATTCACAATGTCTGCTTCACCTCCTAGACAGAGTGGTGAAGAAAGGGAAGAAGGACAAGAAGAACAAAAAGACGGTGAGGAAATGGGATTGAGGATGAACTTGATCAAGTGTTTCCATGTGAAGGTATTGGGAGGTCTGGGGAGAAAGCTTGTCAAGAGAGGAAGCAGGCGTGGGTGGGAGGGAGGGCTGGGTCATCTGAGCCATGCTGACCATTTCCTGAACTCTTGCTAGTTCTTTGAAGAGCTGGCAGTAGAAGATAAACAGGCTGGGGAAGAAGAGAAAGTGCGCAAGGAGAAGCAGCAGCAGCAGCAGCAGCAGCAGCAGCAGGTACAAGTGTTGGGGCCCCACCAGGCCTCGCCACCACGTGGGTGCAGCCGGCGAGGGTGCTCAGGCAGAGGGACGATAGGGACCTGCGCCTCAGACTCTTCTCACTCTCTGCTTTCAGCAGCAAAAAAAGAAACGAGATACCCGAAAAGGCCGGAGGAAGAAGGATGCGGATGATGATGACGAAGAGAAGGAACTGCTGGAGCGCCTGCAGAAGCTCTCTGTGCCCGCCAGTGACGAGGAGGGAGAGGGTAATGATGGGAGTGGGGCCTGCAGCCCTGAGCCGGGGTGAGGGTGTGCCTCATCCCTTCATCTGTGAGTTGATTTAGATCGAAGAGCCAGAATCATCATTCTCTTTCCTGCCTGGTCTTGTTTGTCATTTCAGTGCCTGCCCTGAAACCCCGAGGAGGGAAGGAGACCAAGGTAAGCCATCGTGGTAACAGGCTCGGGTGCACAGTCCTGATCGTCCCCTGACTTCTCTGCCCTTTCACGCCCAGGGGGGCAATGCTTTTGCAGCCCTGATTCAGGATCAGAGTGAGGAAGAGGAGGAGGAAGAAAAACACCCTCCTAAGCCTGCCAAGCCGGAGAAAAATCGGATCAATAAGGTGAAAGCGATGGCCTCCCAGGTGCGCCCACCCCACGGAGCACCTTCTGGCCGTGGGGGGCCAATTCGCTGGCTTGATTTCCTGCTCCTGGGCTAGCTCTTCTGGTCTGTCTGGCTTAAGCTATCAAATTCAGCTTTTTAAAATACTCCTTTATAACTTGGAGGTCTACAGTGATTCTGTTGCTTTCGAAGTCAAGATCTGAAACAAAGGCCTTCAAGTCTTTGCTCTTCCATTTGGGAGTCTTCCGTGTGCATACCTTTCAGAAGGGCCTGCCTGCACTTGGCTTCCAGCCGACTGTGTGGCCTTTGCTCTGTGCCCTGTACTCCGTCTTCCCGGGACCCTCCTCCCGCCCTCCGTCACCTCTCGCGTGTGCCCTAGAGGCAGCCCTCCAGCGCGGCTGCCACCGCTCCCGTGGCTCGCGCCTGGCCCACAGGCCAATGCTCTCGTTTTCTCTTTTCTCTCTAATCTCCCGTTGGAGGTGAGGGCTGTTCTGGCTCTCACTTTCTCCCTAGTCCCACTCAGCACAGTGAACTCCTCGTCCTAGATCCCGAGAAATGCTTGTTAAGCAACAAGGTGGCAAATCAGCGTGTGTGTGTGTGTGTGTGTGTGTGTGTGTGTGTGTGTCTGTCTGTCTGTCTGTCTGTCTGTCTCATCTCCATGTCCTCTCCAGGCTGTATCTGAGGAACAACCAGGACTCAAGGGCACCAGGGGAAAGGAAGAGAAGTCAACAGGGAAAGCCAAGGTGAGGGAGGAAGTTGGCAGGAGAAGGTGCTGGTCTCAAGACTTGGAGCATTTCATCAGCCTGTCTCTCCTCTGTTAGCCTCAGAGTAAATTTTCCGCTCTGGACAGTGAAGGTGAAGAGGATGGAGGAGAAACACTGACAAAAGAAAAAGAGCCGCCCAAGCAAGGGAAGGAGGAGGCCAAGAAGGCAGAGCAGGTGTGTGCCCATGTGGAGGCGGCCGGGGTCTGGGTGCTGGCGCTACACCCCGCGGAGGTGGGCAGACTTCTGTAAAGGAGTTGGCACATAGCAATATTTCTGGCTTTGCAGGCCACATACAATCTCTGATGTATATTCTCCTTCCTCTTTTTTTATTTCTTCTTCTTTTTTTTAGAAGAGAGAAAATGGTTATAACCCACTATGGCAGGTACCAGCTCCCTGATGAGTCTGAGGAAAGATGACAGACAGCCCATTCTGTCTAGGAGCTGGGAAGCCTGTGTTTCTGATCTGGGCACTACCGGGCACTTACTGCCCTCGCCAGTGAATCGAGACCCGCAGGTTCTTCCCGAGAGCTCTAGCACACCAGGACAACAGCTGTCAAGATGGGACTAGTCTCGGGTTCCTCCTTTTTTTAAAAACAGATATGTAAAAGTATTTTTGAATATGTAAAAGCTGTTCTTTTTTTAAAATACATTTTTATTGGTTTTCAGAGTGATAGGAAGAGAGAGAGACATTGATCAGCTCCCACCCTGCCCCTGCGCAGTTCCCACCAGGACTGAGCCCTCAAGCCGGGCATGTGCCTGACCAGGAATTGAACTGGTGACCTGGTTCATAGGTCAACACTCAACCACTGAGCCACACCGGCCGGGCTAAACCATGCTTACCTCAGGGCCATATAGAAACAGGCCTCAGGTCTGATTGGGCCCATGGGCCACAGACAGCCCCTGATCCAGAGAAGAAGAGACCTGGCATTGGATTCAGACGGTCTGTGTGTGTGGCCTTGAGTACATCTTCCCTCCTCGGTTCTCAGTTACCTCATCCGCATGGGACGCAGGAGTCCATGGTCTCCGCAGTCCCTGTATGCCCTGTGCCTCCTGTCCTGGCTTGCTGCACCCTTAGCGTCTGTTGCTAGGGCTTCCGGACCCCTTCTCTGCATATCACTGTGTGCGCTCCAGTAACACCTGGTGCCTGAGGAGAGGGACCCAGTCACGTGGTGCTGGCAGCTCGGGGTGCAGGAGGCCATTTCCTGGGTCCTCCGCTGGTGCCGGGTCCCATGCGTGGCGGCAGGAATGGACGGAGGAGACCGGGTGGGTGCGAGAGGCCACCACAGTGTCCTCAGAGGGGAAGAGCTGACGGAGACGGCGTAGGTGAGCTCTAGAAGGGGCCCTGGTGTTTTACCTCTTCCTGGTTCTCACAGGGTTCCGAGGAGGAAGGAGAGGAGGAAGAAGGGGAGTCTAAGGCCAATGATCCCTATGCCCACCTTAGCAAAAAAGAGAAGAAAAAGTTGAAGAAACAGGTAAGTCCTTGGATTCCTAGTGGGAAAAGGTAGGAACATTTGATATTTTTAAGCTTCAGCTAGAGGGCCTATGAACGGGGGGACAAGAGGAGAGCTTTGAGTGCTGCCTCGAGCAGAACAAGCGGAGTGAGGGGAGTGGTGCCTCTGGTGGCGTCTGGGGACATGGGTGGGATCGTGGTGGCGGAGCTGAGCTGGCGACAGTGGTGGCCCCTCCTCCTCAGATGGAGTACGAGCGCCAGGTGGCATCATTAAAGGCCGCCAACGCTGCTGAGAACGACTTCTCCGTGTCGCAAGCAGAGGTGTCCTCTCGCCAGGCCATGCTAGAGAACGCGTCTGACATCAAGGTGAGGGTGTCTTTCCCCGCGCGCAGGGAAGTGCCCATTCTCTGCGGCACGGCCCAGCAGCCAGGGACGCGGGTGTGTGCATGGGTTTGCGGGGCTTGTCCACGGTGGGAATGCTTGGAGGCGGTTTCCACACCTGGAGTTCTGCATCTTGAGCGAGAAGATAGAAAAATCAGTAGAAGTAGAGGGCCCACCCTTGGAGGGAAGTTGTGGGACAGGCTGGACGCATAGGGTGTGCAGGAGCTGTTAGAGGCAGTGGACAGGGAGAGGCCCTGCAAGGTAGGAGGGGCTGTGCTGGAGGCCTCGACTTGCCAGGGGTCCCCCTGCAGGGAGAGGCTGTAGCCACCAGCTGGGGGGAGAGCCTCATTGTGCCCATTCCTTCCCTCTGCACCGCTTCCCTGGTGGCCGCAGCTAGAGAAGTTCAGCATCTCTGCCCACGGCAAGGAGCTGTTCGTCAACGCAGACCTGTACATAGTGGCTGGCCGCCGCTATGGGCTAGTGGGGCCCAACGGGTGAGGAGAGGAGGGGCTGGGGGGTAGAGGGGGCGAGGCTGGAAGGAAGAGAAGGATTTCTCAGTGCAGCTTGGTCCTGATTTCTCATCCCCAGCAAGGGCAAGACCACTCTCCTCAAGCACATTGCCAACCGCGCCTTGAGCATCCCCCCCAACATCGATGTGCTGATCTGCGAGCAGGGTGAGGCTGTGGGGCTCCGGGGCGCTGGGAGAGGAGCCGTTATGAAGGGGGCTTGGAAAAGTCCTGTGGGGAGCCTGGGAAGTGATGCTACAGCAGGGAGAGAAGTGTGGGACGCAGGGCGTTTCATTCGGAACAGGCACATAGAGCTGGGCAGGATCAGGCAAACCAGAAATAGTGCTGAAGGGCACAGGGCATAGGACCCGGCCCCCGGGGTGGCCTGACTGTCCTCCCCACCCCCAGAGGTGGTAGCGGATGAAACACCCGCAGTGCAGGCTGTTCTTCGAGCCGACACCAAGCGACTAAAGCTGCTGGAGGAGGAGCGACAGCTTCAGGCACAGCTGGAGCAGGGCGACGACACGGCAGCTGAGCGGCTGGAGAAGGTAGAGGACTCGGCAGGCTCACAGGCTGAGCCCTCAGGGTTCCTGTGACCTCGGCCTGTGACCTCTTCTCCCTCTCCCAGGTGTATGAGGAACTGAGGGCTACTGGTGCGGCAGCCGCAGAGGCCAAAGCCCGGCGGATCCTGGCTGGTCTGGGGTTCGATCCTGAAATGCAGAATCGGCCCACACAGAAGTTCTCGGGAGGCTGGCGCATGCGTGTCTCCCTGGCCAGGTGGGGGCTGCCCACCTACTGCCCTCCCTTCAGCCTCAAACACCAGGCCCTTTCCCTTCTTCCCATCCTGCCAAGGCCAGCAGGGAGGCTCCAGGCTGACTGCTCTCCCCTCCTTGGTGGTGTTGGCCCCAGGCCTTCATGTCTCTCCCTGGGGGACGTTATTGATGTCTTCTGCACAGGAGCTCCTCTGAGGAGAGATTGGGAAGGAAGTTCATGGTCTCGGGCTCCAACTACTGGGGCTGCTCTGGGGCCCTCTGAGCAAGGTCTCCCGCTCTGACCCTGCCCTTGGCTGCCCCCCTCCAGGGCGCTGTTCATGGAGCCCACGCTGCTGCTGCTGGACGAGCCCACCAATCACCTGGACCTCAATGCTGTCATCTGGCTGAACAAGTGCGTCCATTGCCCTGGCCTTCGGCCTCGGCACCGGCAGTGCCGTGCTGCCTCCTTCTGTAGCTCTCCCCATCTGCCCTTGGTGCTTGGTCCAGCCGGCCCTCCCTCCCTAGCCCCCACCTGTCTGCTGCCCAGCTGAACCCTAACGTGACCATTGTGACCTTTCCACACTCTGCTCTAAAACCCAGCTACCTGCAGGGCTGGCGGAAGACGTTGCTCATCGTCTCCCATGACCAGGGCTTCCTGGATGACGTCTGCACTGACATCATCCACCTGGACGCCCAGCGGCTCCACTACTACAGGGGCAATTACAGTAAGTGGGCTCACCATGGGGAGGGGCTAGGCCTCAGAATCTGGGCATGGACACCCGCCAGTCCCATCACCCTCAGTCCTGATCACCCCCTCGGTTGCTGGGGGAGGGGCACCCACTGATGTCCGTCCGCTCTGCCCAGTGACCTTCAAGAAGATGTACCAGCAGAAGCAGAAGGAGCTGCTGAAGCAGTACGAGAAGCAGGAGAAGAAGCTGAAGGAGCTGAAGGCGGGCGGCAAGTCCACCAGGCAGGCGGTGAGCACGCAGGGCCTCCTGCGAGGGGGCTCTCCTTGGGAGAGTGGACAGAGACACTCGGACGCCAACCTGCATTGCAGGGGCCACTGTGCAGGTGAGGGTTTCTCCCTTTCCCTTTTCTCTGCAGGAAAAGCAAACAAAGGAAGCCCTGACTCGGAAGCAGCAGAAATGCCGACGAAAAAACCAGGACGAGGAATCGCAGGAGGCCCCCGAGCTCCTGAAGCGCCCCAAGGAGTACACTGTGCGCTTCACGTTCCCCAACCCCCCGCCGCTCAGCCCTCCTGTGCTGGGCCTGCACGGTGAGCCTCAGCCCAGTGGCGTGGGTGGAAGCGCGGGCACCCGTCCTCCAGGGCCGGGACACAGGGCCCTGAAGGGAACGGGAAAGGAAAGCTGCTTCCTCTCCTGGCTCTCAGGTGTGACGTTTGGCTACGAGGGGCAGA